AAAATATTCCACCGACTCGCCGAGATTCGCCAGGGGAGTTAATTCCGCCGCAAGATCCCCTTATTATTGGCTGATAATTGGCCCGGAGAGCGCGCACGCCAAATTAAACAAATCGTTTCGAAGAGCACACGCTGCTGCCAGCGAAGAATGTAAATACTATAGACCCCTTCGTTCCGTTTCCCCCTAGATATATATTTTTTTGCGGGGGAGAGACCTCCACAATGGCGATGTGTGTTTCTTTCTTTTGTCGCATATTAATTGAGCCAGCGGCGTGCGCTCCGTTTGCACGGCCAAAATAAGCGACAGCTGCGAGCGGAAAGTAAACAAAAACAAAACGGGACGCGACGCGATGCGAGGCTTGGCGAGACGAGCCTCAAAGTCGAAAATCATTCACAATGCTCATACGCCGTGTGGGATTTTTTGTTAAGTGGGAAACGTGCCTCTTGGGCGCTGTGCTTCTTGGCTTACTTAAAGGGAATTTAATGGTTCATAGATTTTAATAAACAGATATGAGTTTAAGTTTTAACCTTAGCCTTTACTGTGGCGGAAAAAAAAATCAACTAATATCACTCATACGCAGCGTGGTCTAGCTTAGAAATTTTATTAAAAATATATACAAAATTTTAATTATTAAAACGGAATCTTAGTAAGAAATAAAACTAGTATACACCTTCAATGCTTTAGACTTTTTGAATTAAAAATTTTTTAAAATAAATTAGCTCAAGCTTTATTCTACATTTCCAGGATATTATAGCTATATTCCTACAGAGATTGTATTTCCATTACCCAATCACCTGGCCAACTGACCTTGATAGTTAGCACATTTGAAGCCATAACATCAGTGCACTAATTTCGAACCTGTTTGTGTGGCACTTTGTGGCTTTATATTTTCTATTTTTTTGTTTAAATCAATAAGAGGAAAATGTCAAAAACCGCTGACCGCAAATCAAAGAGTATAGACCGCAAACATTCCGCTTCGGTACAGCGGAAGCGGCCCAAGGGAAAGGCCCATCGTGGAAAGTACAGGAAACCGCTGAAAACTCGAATTGTCACCGAGAGGAAACCAGTCACGTTTCTCCCCAGGTCCCATTCTCTCTCTCTGTGTCTCTTTCTCTTCGGCAGAGAGACATGTTTAGCGTAGGCAAATATCCCGTTTATCAGATCGACCGGCAACGTTTGGCTTTATCCAGTGCTTCTCGCTTCTCTCAGTTGCGAACAAACAGCCGGCGGTGCGGATTCAATTCGATATATACTCTCGCCACGCCGAGCACTTCCATCTCGAACCGCCTTGGCTATATAAACTGAAATCGGGGCCGACGTCTGGCATTCAATGTTTGCTCATTGCAGGCAAATCAACTCCTCGCCAGCAGGAAGAAAAAAGGATATCAATATAGAGATTTCATTCACCATTCAATCAAGTCCCAGCGGCTGCGTCTGTGTGTTCGTTTTTTCGTGACTGTGTGTACTCTACTGTTTATCAAAGCAAAGTAAAATTTAAAACCAAACAGCGCCAAATACAAACAAAGACCGTCGTTCGTCGGCAGCGGGATAAACAAAAAATCGCAAAACGTGCGCCAAAGCTAAAACCAAAAAAAAAAAAAAGAAAAACTTCAAGAAGAAGGGAAAAATTTGCCATAAATTTTCCCATTTCCTTACGTAGAACAAAAGAAAGCAGCATCGACATTTTTGCAATAAACAAAAAGGCCAGAATCCGACATGGAAGTGCAGAATCTGCCCGATCAGGCTCGGATATCGAGCATTTTGCTCGACTCCAGATGTGGGGTAAGTTCGAGGCGCCCCTGACCTCCCACCCACGGCTCACCTGTTTGCGGTGAAAAGGTCTATAAATACAAGTGGTGCACCCAAGAATAGATAATGTTTGGATATTCGGGTGAGGTCTCGCGCTAAGTGAGAGAGTAAACAAAATTGGAGGGCGCTTTCCTTGCGCGGGGCCAGGCCAGGCCAGGCAGCAGCAGCAGCAGCAGCGACTTTGCGATTTAGCATGTGCGAATTTTCCAAATATTTGCCCGATCGCCTTTATTGCCCAGTCTGCTAGTTTGCTATTTCAGCCTGGCATTTATGGCAGATAAGTCAATGAAACGTGATTTTATATCAGACTATTTTCTGATTCCCCAAGGCGCCCCCCTAAGAAGGGGCACTAAGGAAAATAGCACCGTTTCTATAGAGGAAAATTAATTAATTAAATTAATTAATAGAACAAACGTTATTAAAAAATTCTTAAAATATTAGGTTGACTTACAAATCTATTTAAGAAGTGTGTAATGTTTTTATATTCGATATTTTTTTATGCAAAATGGACTCTAAATGATACACATAGGTGATTTTTTAGCTAAGTTTACTAGCATTTTGAATTATTATATTTAAATAAAGAGAAAATATATTTCAATGACTTCAACTGTATACGAAAGTCTCTTAAAATATTTTAATTTAGCTAAGAGTACATCTATTAAGAATGTCTTTCAGATTCTTTATAACTATTTCACCTGTTTTCTCTACAATCAACTTATTGAAAATCATAAAGAAAGAACACATCTCAAGGGTATTTAGATATTTTTATTAAACAAACAAGCACATGACTTACGGACAATATTTTAATAATTTTGTTTAAAGAGACGATGACGACAACAAATTGCACAGCTTTAGGGGGTAGACTGCGAACGACCTCAGTTTCTGTTGGATAATTTATGGCTCCTGTCGGTGGCAAACATGAAAACAGAAAATTTCCTTAAATATAGGACCGTGGAAATTGGAAGTGAAAATGGAAATGCACGGGAATGGCATCGTGTACATGTGTACATGAGCTACACAAAAATATACAAAACAAATTAAAATGCCTTTCATCTAAGAGCCATAAATAATAATGTTTTTCTATAGCGTCGTACGCTTTTCCCGCACCCAAGCCCCTCAGCTCCCAGTCCCAGTCCCAGTCCCGGTCAGAGTCACTACTTAACGATTTGTTTTGTCTGCCTTTCACAGCTAAACGACTTATATCCGATTGCCCGGCTGACACAGAAAATGGAGGGATCGCTTAATGTGTCTGGCAAGGATAAGAATGAAGACTGCCCCTACACCATTGAACTGATACGGCCAGAGGATGGAGAGGCAGTGATAGCCATGCTCAAGACCTTTTTCTTCAAGGTAAGTCCACCTGCAGCCACACTTCTCACATTTTAATTGCATTGTATTCGGTTTTGGGGGGAATTTCTATTCGTAATTCGCTTGCATATCATGGAAGTTAATCAAGCTGAACACCTGGCTTACCAATTCGGGAGCCCAGACTTTATATCTTCCATTGTCAATTTAAATAATGTTTCCAGCGAATTTCAATTAGCGCCGACCACGTGCCCCTTTCCGATCGACTTAATTAGGCTTTAGTTTCAGCTCGAAATTCGCACAGTAAAAGTTGAATTAATTAAGTTATAGCTTATCCCAGAACTCAGATCTCTCCCGCTTAGAAACGGGGAATATGGGTATTGGGGTTCTCATGGAATCGTAGGAGTATCGTATATTATTCGGCTGTCGTGAAGTTGACTGTTGGACTGGCGACCCGGCGACATGATCCATGTCACGGCTAACCTAACTCTTTCCAGCTGGTCTCGCCTCACGACTCTTGACGACGATCTGAAATCAATATACTTGCTCTAAGTTGATCTTGGACTTGTTAAGGCTACCGCCCGAAGCAGACTTCAATGTTCTGATGGCTGCCAATGAGAAGGCGCCCTCTCTCCCAGACCCAAGACCTATTGGACACTATCAAGACCTATATTTAGTAGTTTATAATGGCCAAAGCGAGTATTAGTATTCATGCCACGCCTCTGATTGAGCCAAACAGCAGCCGCCGCCCTCTGGCGATAATGGAAATATGCAAATCGAGTTCCGTTCGCTCGCAATTCTCCAACTGTCTCTATAAATTATTAGAGAAATCTCGATCCAGCGAATGGGTGCATTAATCATTTGAATCAAGATCGTGTCGCCTTGCAATTACGGCGGTAATTTGTTCGGCTGTTTAATGGCTCCTAAAGATCGACAGATTGGTTATAATTTTGAGGTGGGATAATGGGTTCAAATTGATCCACAAATTAAGTGACTATTGTGTTTTACAGGATGAACCACTGAACACCTTTCTCGATCTCGGCGAGTGCAAGGAGCTGGAGAAGTATTCCCTAAAGCCCCTGACTGACAACTGCTCCTACAAGGCCGTGAACAAGAAGGGCGAGATTATTGGCATATTCCTAAATGGCTTGATGCGACGTCCGGTAAGTTTTGAAACCCACACTAATACCCTTCAAATCTAATTTGATGTTATCCTATATTCCTTGAACAGTCTCCCGAAGACGTAGCCGAGAAGGCAGCCGATTCGTGCGCTCATCCTAAATTCAAGAAAATCCTGTCGCTGATGGATCATGTGGAGGAGAAGTTCAACATTTTCGATATATATCCTAACGAGGAGCTGATCCTGGACGGAAAGATCCTGTCGGTTGATACAAACTACCGGGGCCTGGGCATTGCCGGTCGACTTACCGAGCGCGCATACGAGTATATGCGTGAGAACGGTATCAATGTCTACCACGTTCTCTGCTCCAGCTACTATTCCGCCCGGGTGATGGAGAAGCTGGGCTTCCACCAGGTGTTCAGCATGCAGTTCGCTGACTATAAGCCCCAGGGAGAGGTGGTCTTTAAGCCGGCGCTGCCTCATGTCGGCATCCAGGTGATGGTCAAGGAATTAAGCGGTGCAAAGACGGCGCAAACGAAGCTGTAGAGAGCTACACGCTCCTTTGGATTTTATACTATGTGATTCTTTAGTTAGTAGTTCGGTGGCGGGTTCCAGGTAGTTCCATGTCAAGTGTCTCCACTTTCAATTCAAATTAGCAGTAGCATAAACAGCCAGTACAAGTTACGTATTTATCTAATTTAATTAAGTGTTTCGTGTTTAGAAAAAGCTCAAAAATAAATCAAAAACCATTGCCTCTAAACTGTGCTTAGCGTCTGCCACGACGGGAGTTCTTGCTGCGGCTGGTGGCTATCTTGGCCGCCTTGTTGCGCTTGGCACGCAGATTTCGGTTGCTTTTGGTCCTGGAACTGCGCGAACTAGTGCTGCTGGTGGTCGTAGTGGCGATGCGGATTCTCCTCACGGCTGTATATTGCAAGTTGGAGACTATCACCTGTTTGGGATTGCCAGTGCCAGTAGTAGTAGCAGTGCCAGTGGTGCTGTTTTGCGCCTTCGAAATATCCAGCCAGCAGCTGAAGACCACCAGACAGATGGCGGCGATCAAAACAATTGTCTTCATGTTGATGGGAGTTTGGTAAAGCTTGGAATATGCTTCGATGGACGCTGTGGTAGCGCTTAAATAGTCGAAGCGCTTATTTGCACAGTTTGCAAATCGCTGACGAAGGCCAACGAAATTGTTTAATTTTAGCAAAACACTGAAGCATTTGCTTTTCCTTGAACCAAAACTAAACTATCAAAAGACTATCTATCTATTTATCTGCTTTTACGTTTAATTTCGTATTTTGTCCATAAAAAGCAAAACAAGAATTGTGCTCTACTTGGTCGCAGTAGCCTGGCTGAAGGGGTTTCGCGACATGCGATCCATCATGCGGCGCACTTGCTCCTCGTTGCCGTACTTCTGGGCATCGGCCACAACGGCGGCATGGTGGGACACGGCTTCTGCCGAGATTTCGTCCTGCATCTGGCGACTTAGCTCAAAAGAGTGCCTAAAAGAAGAATCAATAACTAGTGTTGAGTCCCTGGTTGGTTATTCTAGGCGAGAGATACTCACTTGACGGACGCAAAGCCAAAAAGGGCACCAAACACCCCGAGGGCCATCAATACCAAGGCCACCTGCCAGTTGGACACCCTGTTCACTCCCTTGATGCCATAGTAGGGTCCCGGATTTGGATCGTAGTTAGGCTTCACTTCCCATCGGGGACTGCTGCCATCCTCGCCCACGGGACTGCGATCGGAGCGTTGTGGTTCCCACAGGAGGCTGTCATCGTAGTCGCGCCTCCTCTGTGGCTTAATAAGCGTCCTGTAAGCCTCGGATATCTGCACGAATCGAGCTGTGCGCTCGGGACTGGTTGCATTGCTCAGCACGTCGGGATGGTACTGACAAAAAAGGAAGTTATCAACCAATTGAAAGGGAATCTCTCAGAGGAACCTACCAGCTTGGAGAGCTTAACGAAGGCGTTGCGGACATCCCTGCTGCTGCAGTCATTACTTATATTTAGCACCTCATAGTGGGTTTCCCTCTTTTTCGGCTTTTCGTGGGAGAAACTGTGCATTGGATGGACATTAACTTTACATAACACCACGCAGCCAGCGAGTCCTTACTTACGCGCACAGATGACACCAGTCCTGGGCGAGAGTACGAATCTGAGCATCTTATTAATAAATATATTTATATTTAAGTGTTATTGCGTAGGTAAAAACATAATTTTGAGAGATTAAAACAAAACAAAAACAAATTGCAAAACTAAAAACAGCTGTTCAGTTGTTGTTTTCTCTGGAGTGCTTACCAACACTAACAATAGAGTTGCCATAGTATGAGACTATTTTAATTTATCATTTTGGTTTCCCCTGTTTTTCGGTCAGAAAATAAGTCTAAATTTTTCAGTTATGATGATAGATATCATCGATGGTCGCCAAAAAACATAGATATTAAAAATATGTTTAAAAAATATCGATGCACCGATATTTCTAGACTTTACAACACTGCTGAGGCTAGAGTGGCGTATTTCCCCCATTCGGTCACTCTGGCAACTAGGAAATAACAAAAAATAAAGATGAGCGGTGCAAAAAAGGCCTTTGAATTACAGCGCCAGGTGCGCCAAAACGCACGTGAGTACGAGAGCAGTGTCAAGGACCTGTACTCGTGGGAGCAGGACATCAAGAAGAAGGAGGAGGAGCTCAAGAAATCGCCAGCCACTGTCATCGCCAAGGTGAGAGCTTGAATTTGCCGCACACTCGTGCCCCGCGCTTGTCTCCTGTCATGCTCACACACACACACATGCACTCGATCCTTTATTCCAGAACCTTCCTGTGCGCAGCCATGTCCAAGACACACAAGCCCAGGCGGGAAAGGGAAGCCCGGGCAGCTCGGCGGCCAGCACGCCGACGGAGAAGCGGGATCTGCCCGTGGATCCGGTGGCGCAGCTGCACAAGAAGGCCAATGACATCAAGGACAGCGGCAACAGTTACGTAAAGCTGGCGGAGTACGACAGAGCCATTGAGGCATACTCAGAGGCCATCAAAGTGTATCCTTATGATCCCGTTTACTACATAAACCGAGCTTTGTGCTACATCAGACAGGAGCGGTAGGAGATGTTGGCTTTTGCGAAATTTATGGAATTTCCCTAAAACCTTTTTTGCTTGCAGCTATGACAACTGCGTGGAGGACTGCGAGGCGGCCATTGAGCTGGACAAGCTCTGCGTAAAGGCCTACTACCGCCGAATGCAGGCCAACGAGTCTCTGGGCAACAATATGGAAGCTCTCAAGGATTGCACGACAGTGCTGGCCATCGAACCCAAGAACATAGAGGCCAAGAAGAGCCTAGCTCGCATTAATGATCGTCTACGCAAGAATGGTAATTGAGTTTAACAGAATTCTAGTGCCTAAATTAATGCTTTGCTCGCTTTCAGCTACCAAGGGCGGTCCAAACTTCACCGCTGATCGCCCTGACCTCATTGACATCTTGCCCCTCGACAAGCCCGTCTATAAGCGCTCCAAGCAACCCATGCATCGTGTGCCGATCGTCGATATAATCTCTCCTCGTGTGGCCAGTGAGGAGACCAAGAACTTGCGCATCTCAGACGAGGACATTGACAAGATCTTCAATAGCAACTGCGGAGTATTCGAGCAGGTGAAAAAGTCTGAAACAAAGCCCAATGCCTCGACAGGTACATCCGCTGTTGAGAATATCAAGGAGACAAAGAAAGACACAAATATTAAAGCTCCCAAGGCAACCCAACAGACAAATAGTAATGCTCCCAAGGCAGACCAACATGTTGAAGTGGCCAAGGATGAAAAGAAGGAAATTAAAAGTGCGCCAAAGGCAACGCCAGCTGTTGTCGAGACTCCAAAAGCTCAGAGCACTACAGCATCCCCGCCAAAACCGGCCCGCACTCCCAGCGCAGTCGTCGAGGCGAAAACAGTGAAGGAAAATGTACAGAAAACTGAAAAGATTGAACCAGATTCTACCAAAATAAAAGACTCTGCGAGTCCCTTGGAGGTAAGATACCTTTAAGCTAGGATTTGACAAGAACTTAAGCCCCCTTTTTTTTTAGCGTTCACTACCTCCGCCACCTTCGGGAACAGCTCAGTTCCATGTGACCTGGAAGGAGCTAACTGCTTCGCAGAAGTACCAGTATTTAAAGTCCATCGAAATAGCCAATCTGTGTAAGATCCTAGGCGCCGGGTTCGACTCGGCCACGTTCACGGAACTGCTGCGCACCGTTCATGACTTTTATGTACCAAATAAGGAGCCAACCACGGCCGCTGTTCTGCTGGAGATAAGCAAAAACGACGAATTCACCATTCTGGCCATGCTCATGTCAGCAGAGGAAAAGAAAGGTATATTATTGTAAATTTAGTTGCACAATCATCTCTATTTTGTTTCCTTTTTCCAGTGGCAACATCTATTTTAAGCGACATTAAAAACTGGCCCAACCAAAACTCAGCGGTGCTGGATAAGCTCTTGAAGGCCTACCTGTAACGCGTTCTGAATTCTAAATGTTTCAAGTTTAAATGTACTTATGTTGCTTCAAATTGTTAGCTCAAAAAACAGAAAACTACAAAAAATACATGGAGGATGTAAAAGATGTTAAACAGAATGCGGAATGGATTTGTTATTTGTATGAGATGAAATGGTGTGGATATTAGTTACGCTAGAGATATGCTTTGGTTCTCTGCATTTGAAGCGTATTAGTTACGCTAGTTTGGGAATTTCTCAATCACATGACTCACAACGATGAGGTATGGTCAGATTTAGGCTTAATATCGGCATTAATTTGAAATGCAGAGAGAACCACTTGAGCAAACAAACCGTTCTTGGTTGATTTCCTACGACTGCTAGCCTGTCAGGCAATGAATATTGAATAACAAATTGAGTAATATGAATTAGTGTAATTTACATAAATCAGCGGATTAATTCAATCTGCGAAGCCACCTAACATGGGTTCTCTTCCAGCAAGAACAACAACTCCATTAAGCGACGTCAAGTTGAAAGCGTTGATCAGTCGGGGGGATACGCACACGCATGCGTATCATTACAGCAACACCCCGCCGAAGGAGAATATCCCCCTCCCACACACACAGCAGCCCCTGATCCCAGCCAGAATCTGGGGTGCCGGGCGCAGGCTGCGGCGGCACGCTAATTGCGTGAGAGCTGCACTAAGCCCAGGGGCCGCCGGGGTTTACTTAAGCTCCATTGTTGCTCTGCTGCTAGTTATAATTTAATTTACATTTTTCTTAACAAACGCTCGCTGTGATTTATCCAATTTCTCGTCGCGAGAGAAGCCGCGCGCGCGAGAGCGGTATTCGGGCAGAGTTGCCACAGGGTTTGGCGTTGTCTGTTTATTTAATTTTTAAATTAAGAATTTTAAAACAAATAAAACTGTACACAATTTTATTTTACTCTTCCAATATTTGATTTTAGGAAAATATAATTCAAATGTCAACAGTTGAGCCACGTAACTTACGTTCTTAAATTAGAAAATAGATTCATTCATAGATTCATCAGTTAAAGAAAGAAATAATCTGTTTTTGTTTTATTAAAAATATTAATCTGAGTTTAAAGTAATAACTAAAAGGAGAAATATATCAATAATAAAATCGAATTATTAACTGAATTTCAACAAAAATGTTTGTTTTCTTCGTAAGTTAACTATAAATATTCTTAGTTTGGAGTGAGAATAAAGTGGGTTTTTCCTTATTTTTTATAAATTTAAGAAAGATATTAGAATCCCTTATGTTCAAATCATGTTCTAGTTGAACTTTAGACTTGAAAAAGATACTTTCTAGGTGAGGTAAATCGATTTAATATACTTCAGAGGATGAAAACGCTTCAAAGGGAATTCTCTTGATATACAAATTCTCTTCAAAATGAAATATAACACATTATTCCATGGTTATCAGATATTTTATAGAAATATTTCCAACTTTGTGGCAACCCGCTAAGCCGCGCTTCATTGATCAGAGCAAAGATTTCCTAGAGAGCCGGCTGAACGGCTTCGGAGTGCCCGATCGGCTCAGCCAGTTGCTGTCTATACTCCAACGGATTTGGATATTGTTGCTCCGGCTCCGAGAGTGCAGAATCGTGGAGAAATAAAAACAGAAACCGAAACTGAAACTGAAACGGAGAAGCAATCGTAAACCGCGAACTTAGTAGCCGTTGCATCGCGTATACGAAGCGTGAAACACAAACGACATACAACAAAAGTACAAGCGGCGAGAGAGTGCAGCAGCAGCAGCAGCAGCAACAAATTCGTAAACAATCAAAGTAACGGGGTTTTGTGCGAGTGTAAGTGCCAGCGAGTGTATGTGTGTGTGTGAGAGACTGCGACTAATTTAAACGCGACTTTAGTAAAAATAAGACTCTTTATTAACTAAATCCAGGGAAAATCCAACGCCCCCGTCGCGCAATAACAAAAAGAAAGCGAAAACTGGATAGAACTAAGCCAGTTCTGAATAAAATCCAGTTACAGAAACCAAGTGCTAAGCGAGTGATTTGGTGGCGTATACGTAATCCCGAATCTTGTCAAATCTGTAAAGAATAAAACTAACAATAGCCAGTCAGTCTCCCACCAAAAACCCCAAAAAAAAAAAAAGAATCAAATGAAATAAAAACACAAACTGTACGTAGTTCATTCAGCCAATAACAATAACATTCGGCCAGAAGAATGCGGCAAAAAGAGAGGGGTCTGTTCGCGTTTTGTTTTTATTTTTGTTGCTTTTGCACCTACACTATTTATTTATTTTGTTGTCAAGTGTGTGTCTGTGTGTGAGTGCTTTATTTTTGCCGTCGCGACTGCACGTCTTCATTTCATTAGTTCGATCGGCCACTAGACAAGCCGGAGATTACGGGTCCGCCACTCCGATCTTGGCCAGTTTGCTTGCCGCCGCTTCTTCCACTTCTTTTTCTCGTCTCAACCTGTGCCAAGCGCTAAACCAAAATAATAAAAAAAACACACAAAAACAAAAAACAAGTGAGAAACGGAGGCTTGGTTTTATGACCGAAGCTGGGAATACCTTAAAAGTTGACCTGAAAGAAGTATCTGAGAGGTTGAAGTGTTCTATTAAGTAACACGTTTGAAGAAGATAATTTCCAAGACCGCGGGAGCTTTTATGATATATCAAAAGACTGGTTAAAATACTTAATACATAGTTATCAAAAAGAATCAAGCAAATACATTCCAAATCAATCTTTATCCCTTAATATTATTAGTTGAATTTAAACATTTTTAAATTCTGGAGGTTAAAATTAGCAGTCCGTTTTCAATGTTTTGGAAAACATTCACGGAATTTATTTCCTAAACCTCTTCCTCTCTTCTTTTAAAATAAAGTCCTTACATTTAAAAATGTTCCTTTGTTAATTCGCTGTTAACTTCCAAGCTGAAATCAATCTTTTAAAATACTTTGCTATATCTTAAATTAAAAAGCATAAAACACTCGAATTTTTCAAGGGAAAACATTATATTAAATGCTCAAACCAAAGAAGGGTAATTCGAATATAATCCAGCTAAAATCAAAATACTTTTCAAGTGAAATCAAAATACTTTTCAAGTGAAATCTGATCCTTTTAAGGATCTTAGTTAAAAGTATTTCATATCTTCTTGTGTAAAAACCCTAACCTGATAGCTAACATCACCTTCCCTAAGAGTACGAAAAAAACGGGGTAAAAAATAAAGGCAAAAAAGCAAAAACGTGTCCCATAGCCCAAAAAGACGCTCACAACACAGGCAGCAGCAGCAGCATCAGGCAAAGACATAAAAGTCAACCGGTCGGTTGGGTTTCGAACAGCAGCTACCAGCAAAAGCAAAAGCAACAGTAACAGAAACAGCAACTACAACTCGGCTTCATCGGCGGCAATAATATGTAAAAGCTGAGAAAAAAACAGCCAATGCAAAAACGCCAAAGATACTTATAAATAACAATCTAGATGGCGAAGAAGCCAGCCAGCGAGCCACTCGAGGCTGAAAGCTGTTTAGCATAGTTTATTTTTTCGCTAATAGGCGGGGGCGGGAGCTCAGGGGGATCCGGACTGGGGGGCTGCTTGGATCCGTTTAGCTGGAAACCCGAAAAGATGCTAAATATGCGATCAATAACAAATGGAATATTCCATTCCTTGAACGCGATTGTATGAACTTTCTTTTCTTTTCTCGCATCCGTTAAATTTACAATTTAAATTAAATCCTAACAGCTAGCTAGTTTTGGCAGCTGCTATTGTTGCACCTGCCTTAAGATCAATGGATATTTGGCACATCACTCTCGTTGACTCATACTTATATGACGTACTTCCGTCTAGACTCTAAAGAGATCAGAAACGGGGCATAAACCTCCTCGGCGAGATTTTTGCGAAATTCATATGGCTTAGGGTTCGATCACTCGGCTCAGATATTTGGCGATACAGTTAGGCACCCAGTGCTAATTCGATTGATAATTGCCAGCCTGCTGACGCCTTTTCCAAACATCTTCTACATGATGTCTAAACTCGATGCTGGGCTTGGCTTTTTGGCCAAATTAAAGTCATGGGTTCAACGATAACTTGATAACCAATTCTGGATGCCTGACTGACTAGCTGGCTGGCTGGTCAAAGAGAGTACTACCTCTAACCGTAATTGACTTGTTTGGCTGAGTGAATCCCATGCCAGCAGCAATTAGCACTGCTCTGGGTAGCAGCAGCAGAAATAACAACAAATACTTGTAGTGAATTTTATTCATATTTATGGCTCAATTTGATCGTTGCTTACGTGCAATCGTTGTGGCGGTTTTGGCATTTAATTTCATGTTTTTTTCGAACAGCCGCACGCCACACGAGAGAGCCCAAGAGTTGTCGTCGTACAATCTCTGTGGATATTTTGCGGATTTATTGAAATGCTAATAAAACGCTAAATGCCCCGGCATGATGATGAGACAGTCTGCCAAAGCCACGGAGGCCTCAAGGATGGGGCTTTGGCCACGCCAAAGTCAAAGTTAAAGAAGTCAAGCGAGGTGCCCTGCAAGTCTGAATATTGGCAAACAGATATTAACTTCCGACTCCGTAATATAAACGGCAAACAACAATCAATAGCCGACAACTACAGGTTTTTCTTAGTTTTTTTTTTTTTTTTTTGTTTCTTTCAGCTGTCTTGGCAGCATCTTCAAGTGAAACCTCGTCACGAGCATGAGTCTGGTTTTTTTGGCTTGCTTTTTCGTTTATTTTTAGTTGCCCTGCCGCAACGGCGTCCGACTAAATCAAATCACTTGAGCATTTCATTATATTATTATAAGAGGAAGCGTTCTTTATCTGACGCGCGAGCAGCCCCAGGAGATACTATATATCTGTATACGTATATGTATATAGTACGTCTATATGAAAGCCAGGGCGTTAATTCAATCAAAATCATTGCGACAAAACAGCCATGACAAAGCGGAGGCAAAGTCTGGCTTCGAAAACCCACTTTCAAGTAATCTTAGCTTGGGCCGATCGCATAAGGGAAGAGTTAAAATCGAACCAAGGCTGACACTGTTTTATTACAGCCCCAAATCAGACGAAAATATATTTTATTTGTTTTTAAAATCTTCAAAGTTGATATTGCGCATACGCCATGTGTAACGATATACTATTTTAAAT